CATCATGAATGCTTCACGAATGCCTGCAGCTCAGTGTTCTCCTCCTGTGTTCCCATCTTTGTTAGGGTAGGATCATCTATTTAGGGGCCCAAACTAGGAATTTGGGTGTTATCTTCAGATTCTGTATCTTCATGTCTTGTATCTAATCAAATGTATGTCCTTTGGCTCAATTGCGCTATACCTAATCTGTGCATAAGAATCACCCGGAGATCTTTTAACAAAAATGAATGAGACTCCCCAAGACTTAACTTACATCTCCAGGGATGGAGACCAAGCAACCAGTATTTTTCAGTACAGAATTTCTGAGCTCCTAGTGATTCTGATCTGTACTCAGGTTTAGGCATAAAATCACTGCCATTTTGTATAAGCCAACAGTTTAAGCTTTGTGGCTATAGATGAGACATGATAAGAACTCTTTTTGTTGTTTAAAAAAAAAAATCATTGTGTTGATAGTTCTTCCTGTTGATAGACTGAATATGGATATGAGGATCCGTATTTCCTTTCTTTCCTTTTTTCTTTTCTTTTTTTTTTCTGAGTCAGTATCTTGCTCTGTTGCATAGACTGGAGTGCAGTGGTGTAATCTCAAGCTCACTGCAACCTCCACCTCCCAGGCTCAGGCAATCCTCCCACCTCAACCTCCCAAGTAATTGGGACTACAGGTGCACACCACCATACCTGGCTAAATTTTTTGTAAAGACAGCGTTTCGTCATGTTGCCCAGGCTAGGCTCGAACCCCAGGGCTCAGGCGATCAACCTGCCTCAGCCGCCCAAAGTTCTGGGATTACAGGTGTGAGCCACCACACCAGCCCCATTCCTTCCTTTTTATTCTAGCCTACATTGTTGGGTTCAAGGCTTTATCACCTCTCACCTGACCTATTGCAGCCTCTCCTAACTGTCTCTCTGCCTTCAGTGGCTGGTATCACCAATCCCTACTCCATATCTCCATATTGTCAGTGTTGCCCCAACTTAAAGCTGCAATGACTGCCTACCTGGTGAAGGCTAAACTCCTTCATAAGATGGTTAAGCCCTTTCACGGTATGGCCTCAGCCTTTCTAGCCTTACTCCTCCGTGCACCCTGTGTGCTAGGATTTCAGTTGAATACTCTCTCCTTTCTCTCTCTCTCCCTCCCTCCCTCTTCCCTTCCCTTCTTCCATCCTTCTGTTCTTCATTCCTTTATCTTTCTCTCTCTCTTTTTTTTTTTTTGGAGACAGGGTCTCAATTTATCACCCAGGCTGGAGTGCAGAGGCACAATCACAGCTCACTACAGCCTCCACTTCTCGGGCTCAAGTAATTCTCCCACCTCAGCCTCCCAAGTAGCTGGGAGTGCAGGTGTGTGCCACCACACCTGGCTAATTTTTTTTATAGAGGCAGGAGTTTGGCTATATTACCCAGGCTGGTCTTTAACTTCTGGGCTCAAGCGATTCTCCCATCATGCCCTCCCAAAGTGCTAGGATTACAGGCATGCGCGTCTGTGCCCAGCCACTTGAATACTATTAATATTTCTGATGGCTTCAAATATGCTGTACTTATTGGCCTTTTTATATGTTGTTCCTCTGGCTAGAACACCCTCACTACCGTCCCCACTTCTTCTGGCCACTGTCAAATTCATACTCATTCAAGCTCCAGTTCAAGTGTCGTTAACTTGGTGAAGCACACCACCACTCCCCTGCCCTGGCCTCTCCAGTGTGAATGAATTGCTCTTTAGTCTGTGATCTCAATGCTCTTGATTCATATCTCATATTCAGAGCATCAATAAAATGTCTATAAACAGCTGTAAAATAAACTACAGAAATAAAATTCAGTCTACAATTAAGGTTTCTGAAGAGAAAGGAAAAAATGCTACTCCTTCAGGGTTTTAAAGATTAGTTATTAGGTCTGCAGCGGGTGATTCTGGAAAAGGAATAGAAAATGAAAAAAAAAAAGATTAGTTATTAGGAATTACCTTTCCAGAATGTTTAGTATCATCTTAACCATATTAATTACCTTGAGGGCAGCTGTAAGAATGTTATGTAGATGAAAGTGACCTATCACAGTCTGCTTTATTTCATAGTTGCTCCTCTTGCAAATTGCATAGGAACAAGACTGATTCTTATACCTTTATATCTCATATGACCCTACATGGTCCTCACACTCAGTAAATGTCCGTTGAATTGGTGAGGTTCTGAACCTTCGGGTGTCAAGGATGAATTGATGATTCCAGCTCTTGCCTTTTTCACTGCAGTGTATATTCAGGCCACCAGTCTGTCTTAATTCCTCCTATGGAGTTAGAAAACAACCTTTTCCTCTGGCTTGCCACGGTCAACCAGTACAAAATAAGGGACACTTTCTGCTCCTATTCAGTGATGGAGCTCTGCACCAAAGGACTTGGCAACCAAGTGGAAGTGCTAAAGGTAAGAAGCAGCTCCAGCAGCTGGCCAGTCCCAAAAGGTTTTGAAGAAATGGGGCAGGACGTAATAGGGCCAGAGTAGGGGCTAGCAAACATGTTTTCTTGCCTTTTTCAAGCCACTCAGTTAAAGGGTGTATTGTAAACATTGGCAAGTTTATCTCTTTCACCTTCCTAATTTAGTGTACTCTTCCATATTCCACAGTTTAATGTGATTCTTACTTTGTGAACAAGGAGAAACTGGCTGGGAGGCTAACTGGAAAGACTATGTAAAGATAAAAGGGAACTGTGGCTTCCAGTATTTTTTTTTTCCTAATAGAATTTGAAACCTCAGAATATTAGGAATTTGGAGTATTCCCAAAGATAAAGGTAGCTCATTCATGTGTGTGTCAAATGATGATTTGTCTGACTGGCATATGAGAAAGTCAGAAAATACTGAATTTTCTTTGCTAGAAAAACAAGACCTTTAGCATGCAAAAGGAGAGAAGAGATGAGATCACCAGAGTTCTGGATTAATTTTTCTCTCAGTCCCATCAAATAGGGGGACATCTAAGATACAGATATGAGGAGGGAAAAAAATATATTGCTGAAGAGCCTTAGATTTTTAGAAGAAAAGGGAAAGAACTAGAGAATAAGCAAATTTACCAGCAGATAGTGATTTTAATGGGATGCCTTGGCCGTTTCTTCTTTTCTGAAAGCTGCTTTCTCTGTGTGCCTGAGGTAAGAATACAAAGTTGCTTGGCTTTTCCTGACCAAGGAGCGAGAACAGTGGCCCTACCTGTTCAGTGCTTTTATGATCCTACTGACTTCGCTCCCATTGGTGTCTTATGCAACGGTGTCTTGCAGACCAGAGGGATCAACCTCTCCTGCGTCCGGACCTGTGTGGTGGTGGCAGAGGAGCGGCCCCGTGTTGCACTCCAGCAGTCCTTCTCCAAGCTCTTCAAAGACATCGGGCTGTCCCCGCGGGCTGTCAGCACCACTTTTGGATCAAGAGTCAATGTAGCAATATGTTTACAGGTGACCCTCATGAAATCTTGTCTGCTCACAAACTGGAGAGGACTGTGGAGTGTCCCAGAGCATGGGCTTTGAAGCCAGGCTGTCTGGGCTTGGGCCCCAGCCACACTTACTTGCTTTGGGACTTTGGGCTTTTTATCTCGATTTCTTTGTGTCATTTTGCTGGTCTGTAAGGTGAAGGTAGCAGTACTGTGCTTCCCTAGGCAGCTCCGTACTCTCAGAGCAGTGCTGGCGGTGAGCACAGTGTTAGTGTTTCCTCGAGTCATCAGCATGTGGTCATGATGATGAGTCACAAAGATTTGAGTCCTATTTGGATTTTGCTTGTATCTGACCTTCTTCTGTTTTTCTTTTTGAAACAGTCTCACTTTCACCCCGGCTGCAGTGTAGTGGCACAGTCTCAGCTTACTGCATCCTCCACCTCCTGGGTTCAAGCGGTTCTCTCACCTCAGTCTACAGAGTAGCTGGGATTACAGGCACTTGCCACCACACCTGGCTATTTTTTTTCTATTTTTAGTAGAGACAGGGTTTCACCCTGTTGGCCAGGCTAGTCTCAAACTTCTGACCTCAGGTGATCCACCCACCTCAGCCTCCCAAAGTGCTAGGATTATAGACATGAGCCACCTCGCCCAGCCCTGACCTTTTGTTTTTCTGTCTCTATATTCTGTACCTTTTTTTTTTTTTTTCAAACAATAAGCTTGTATTCTCTTCTCTACCCAGATGGCAACTTTGTCATGTTATTCTCGATGGGTAAATAACAGAAGAGGGATTAGAACTGAGACTAACTTTGTGTATTAATTTAGCTAATAAGGCAAATATAGGGCCAGGTATGGTGGTTCATGCCTATAATCACAACACTTTGGGAGGCCAAGGCAGGAGGACTGCTTAAGTCCTGAAGTTTGAGACCAGCCTGGGCAACATAGGGAGACCTCATCTCTATCCCCATCCCCCCAAAAAAATAGCTGGGTATAGTGCATGCCTCTAGTCCCAGCTACCTGGAAGTCTGAGGCAGGGGGATTGCTTGAGCCTAGGAGGTTGAGGCTGCAGTGAGATATGATTGCACTGCTGCACTTCAGCAGCCTGAGCAACAGATTGAGACCCTGTCTCTTAAAAAAATAAGGCAAATAATAGACATGGACAACAATGGGTTAAAAAAGATAGTACACATGGGTGGATTATTTCAGGTCTTCTGTGACCTTCTTCTTTCAGAAGGGTCTTGATGGTTTAACCTTGAGCCCCATCATAGGCCTCTTGCTGTCACTGTGGCCAGTGTTGGTTTTGAAAGGCCCTGAGTTGCCAACTTGTCTCACTTCTGCTTTGAATCCAGGGATGAAAGCCCTCCTCAGCATGGAAACGTTTCAGTGCTGCCATAGTCCCTGTGATAAGAGGGAGAGCAGGGGGCCTACTTTCCAAAGGGAGGAGAGGTGAAAAGAGTGTGGATTGTTCATGTATATGGCTAAATTATTTCTTGGTTTGAAAATGTGAAATACAGTTTATCAAAATTCTAAACAATGCATTGATTTGTCTTTCTTTAGGGAACCTCAGGGCCTGATCCGACTACTGTGTATGTGGATCTGAAATCGCTAAGACATGACAGGTATATCAGATTTATTATGCTCCTTCCCTACTTATTCCTAAGCATAAAAAATTCTGAACCTCGGGCCGGGTATGGTGGCTCATGCCTGTAATCCAAGCACTTTGGAGGTGTGCAGATCACCTGAGGTCAGGAGTTTAAGACCAGCCTGACCAACATGGTGAAACCCCGTCTTTAAAAAAAAAAAAAAAAAAAGGCACACATCTCACTCATCCTTTCCCTGGTGACATTTCCCACCTCTGCTTTCTGAAAGCAAAGATGAGCAGCACTCAGGCTGAGAAGTCCATAATGGGCATGATCAACATGTTTCACAAATACACTGGACGTGACAAGATTGACAAGCCGAGCCTGCTGACGATGATGAAGGAGAACTTCCCCAACTTCCTCAGTGCCTGTGGAAAAAAGGGCACAAATTACCTGGCTAATGCCTTTGAGAAAAAGGACAAGAATGGGGATAAGAAGATTGATTTTTCTGAGTATCTGCCCCTTTTGGGAGACATAGCCATTGACTACCACAAGCAGAGCCATGGAGCGGAGCCCTGTTCTGGGGGAAGCCAGTGGTCCAGCCCCACCCGGGGCCTCCAGAGACCCCAGAAACAATAAAGTGTGTCCCACCACCAAAAAAAAAAAATTTTGAACGTCAGAGCCAGCATTTTTCCTCATTCCTTTTGTTCTATCTTCTAGGAGGGGAATGGGAAGAGAGAAGGAATTTGTTTTTATCATTAATACGTAAGATTTACATTTGTAAGAAAGCTTTAATTTTCTCCGTTGCTACACCATTCTTTAATATTAAACTATAATACTTAGTTTTTACCGATATAAAAGTATTTTGTGACATTTGATATAAATTAAACTAAAATGGACAGTCTCTTTCCTCTAAGATAGGACAGATAAGATAAATGAGCAGCATAGGGTTTTTGAAACAACACTTTATCTGAGCCCCGTGGGTAAAAAAGCTTGCCTCCTCAGCCCAAAAGGGAATTTTAGCTGGGTCCTGAGCTGAGCATTGGCCCAGGGCTCTGAGGCCTCTTCAAGTCCCACTGCCTTGGATGTGTTATCTGGAGTGCCCCACTGCACTGCCCTGCCCTGCATAGGTAGAGCATTTCTCTCATGCAGCAGTTTGAAACCTAGGAAGAATTTGCCGCCCCTGTAGGACATTTGAAAATGTCTGGAAACGTTTTGGGTTGTCATAAAAGGGGCTTGCTACTGACATCTAGTGGGCAGAGGCCAGAGGTGTTGCTAACCATTCTACAATGCACAGGATAGCCTCTTTCAACAAAAAATTATCTGGCCAAAATAGTAGTGCTGAGTTTGAGAAACCCTGCTGTAGTGTGAGGAAGATAGACAAGTTAGAGGTCGTGGGAAGGCAGCACTGAGCATCAGGAATGTAGTGACTTCTCTTCTTAAAAACCCTATATACAGTAAATACCGTTCTTCTGCAGGGTTCGTCTTGTGGAACGTGGCGCCCCCCAGAGTTTGCTCCTCTCAGAGTCTGGAAAGGTAAATTGTTCTGATGACCATGGGAAGGTAGGCTGCGTGGAAAAGTGGTTCATTTTAAGGAAACCGGAAGCCGTATTAGTGTCCAGGGCAATCCTTAATTGAAATTTGATACTTTCAGCTTGGCTCATACTTCAAATTCATATAGGTACATAAATAAGAATAATAAATTTGAACTCTCTTAATTTCCATAGATTTTTAAAAAAAATCCAACTGACATGTTATTCTTATTGACTGACTAGCGAAATGCAGTGCTCATTGTATGAAAGGTGGATAGAAGAGCTGATTCTTTTGTTTTTTCCTAGACTGCTCAGGAGGACTGTCTTTTTTTTTTTTTTTTTTTTTGAGACGGAGTTTCACTTTTGTTACCGAGGCTGGAGTGCAATGGCGCAATCTTGGCTCACCGCAACCTCCACCTCCTGGGTTCAGGCAATTCTCCTGCCTCAGCCTCCTGAGTAGCTGGGATTACAGGCACGCACCACCATGCCCAACTAATTTTTTGCATTTTTAGTAGAGACAGGGTTTCACCATGTTGACCAGGATGGTCTTGATCTCTTGACTTCGTGATCCACCCGCCTCGGCCTCCCAAAGTGTTGGGATTACAGGCGTGAGCCACTGTGCCCGGCCATTTTTTTTTTTTTTTAAACAGAGTCTCACTCTGCCACCCAGGCTAGAGCACAGTGGCACAATCTCAGCTCCCTGCAACCTCTGCCTCCCAGGTTCAAGTGATTCTCCTGTCTTAGCCTCCCGAGTAGCTGGAGTTACAGGCACCTGCCACCATGCCCAGCTAATTTTTGTATTTTTGGTAAAGACGTGGTTTCACACCATGTTGATTAGGCTGGTCTTGAACTCCTGACCTTAGGTGATCTGCCTGCCTCAGCCTCCCAAAGTGCTGGGATTATAGGCATGAGCCACTGTGCCCAGCCTGGTTCTGTTTTATAAACATCACAAGGAGAAAGCTAGGAGAGGCCAAGATGGGAGTGTGGCTTGAGGTCAGGGAAGATACACACGCATTTAAAGTTGAAAGGAAAATCAGAATGGGGATGAGATTAAAGATACTTGAGAGAATTCTGTGGGAGTAACATTTCTTAGATTAGAATTAGCCTCTAAATCATCAAAAGAGAGATTTAGTGAGAAACAATTTGCTAAAGATAAGACACCCACATGCATTGTCAAGACAGGTGGGAGTTTCTCTGCCCTTTGATGAGATATGATGATGCCTCAGAATCCCTTCTAGTAATTCTGAAGGGCAGAGAAAAAACTGTGAAGGAAAAAAAAACCCTATGAAACCTATCCAGTGGTGTATCACCCCATGGGACACTTACTCCATTCTCACTCGCTGCTTGCATGTGCCAGGGGGGTTTGGCTGATTGTGTCACTGCCTTGTCACATCTTCACTTGCCTCAGCAGCCAAGCACAACTCACGAGCATTAGCCTGTTCCCAGCCTCATCTCTTCCTTGAGGTTTTAGATATTTGTGTCCAGATAATTATTGAGGGCTTCTAGAGTAACCCCATACTTTAGAAACCCAAAATAAAAAGGGACTTCAAAGGGGGAAGAATATGGGTAAACAGAGAGACCATTTTTTGGCTAGAATGGCTGAGGCATTCCCTCGGCCAGCATTTGCATCTTTTCCTTCCTGAGGAAAATCCTGGAGTCGTGGATATCCTTTTGTCCTGCAAAGCTGCCATTGTCCTCTCTCACTCTTCATGTTGCTTCAACTCTGGCCTAACTGAAGTCTGGAGTGGAGTCACTCAGGCTTTCTCTGCCTGCTGCCCTTTCTGTTTTAAGGGGTTTTACTGCCATCATTCCAGTGAATGAGAAAGAGCATGAAAAGGGGAAGGTTATTTTACAAATTCTGTTAAGGTCCTGATCTGTAGTTTCTGATCCCTTTGAAGAGATGGCAGACTGTCTCCCTGTTTTATTTTTGAGGCTGAGTTTTATTAGAGCTTTGGTCTTCAATGAACTGAGGAAGATTCAATAAGAGCAAGATGGAAGGTGTCTGCCATTGTCCCCTCGGTAGCTGCTGTGATGCTGTTACAGCTGGCTTCTGCCCTGTGTGCCTGTCCCACCTCTCCAGCAGGTAACTGTGCATTTCCTGGAGGTCACTGGATTTCACTGAACCCAATCTTTGTATTTTCTCTTTGATGCTTAGATTTTACCTGGAGTGAAAGTGGTCATTGTTAATCCTGAGACCAAAGGGCCGGTTGGAGACTCTCACCTTGGGGAGGTGTGTAATAATTTTCATTTTTACTCTGAAAAGTCAGCAGTAAAAAACTCTAGGGTTCACATTTTAGAAATCAGTAAAACTGGATTTAGCTTTCCCCCGTTGTGAATAGAGTTTTTTTTTTTTTCCTGTAAAGCATGAGACTGAAATAGAAGAGGGAGATTGAAACTGGGATCAAGGGAAGATTTACACACTCAGACTAGAAGTCATGTCACATTTGTCCACTGACATACCCTTAGCTAGAAAGGAAAGTGAGTAATCCTACATGTTCCCACCTATTAAGTTATGAAACGGAAAGGAGTCACATATTAAAAAATGTTTAAGGTCATTCAAATGTTATATTGTATTCTAAAATGTATTTATATTTGCATTAACAAAAAAATACAGGCCCAGCCCTTTAACCAAAATAAAAAATTATATATAAATATATGGGCCAGGCGCGGTGGCTCACGCCTACACATTGGGAGGCCGAGGCGGGTGGATCACAAGGTCAGGAGTTCAAGACCACCCTGGCCAAGATGTTGAAACCCCGTCTCTACTAAAAACACAAAACTTAGCTGGGCACAGTGGCACATGCCTGTAATCCTAGCTATTCAGGAGGTTGAGACAGGAGAATTGCATGAACCTGGGAGGCAGAGGTTGCAGTGAGCCGAGATCGCACCATTGCACTCCAGCCTGGGTGACAGAGTGAGACTCCGTCTCAAAAAAAAAAAAAAAAAAATACAAAAACTAGCCGGGTGTTGTGTTGCACATAGGTAATCTCAGGCACTCAAGAGGCCGAGGCAGGAGAATCGCTTGAACCTGGGAGGTGGTTGCAGTGAGCCAGGATGGTGCCACAGCACTCAAGCCTGGGAGACAGAGCTCTGTCTCAAAAAAAAAAAAAAAAAAAAAAATATATATATATATATATAATATATAAGGATATAAAAATTAACTATGTAAAATAGTTAATTTTTCTTCCCCTAAATCTTTGTTTTGGTTTAGTTTTTTGAGACAGAGTCTCACTCTGTCACCCAGACTGGGCTTACTGCAACCTCTGCCTCCTGAGTTCAAGTATACTTGTGCCTAAGCCTCCCAAGTACCTGGGACTACAGGCACATGCCACCATTCCCAGCTAACTTTTTGTATTTTTAGTAGAGACAGGATTTCACTATGTTGCCCAGGCTGGTCTCAAACTCTTAAGCTCACATGATCCACTTGCCTCAGCCTCCCAAAATGCTAGGATTACAGGCATGAGTCCCCACACCCAGCCCCCCAAAATCTTTGAAGGATGCTGATATTTCATCACATAGCTGAATGGGAGGAATACTGTAAGTACAGGAGCCAGATGACCTGGGCTCTGCCACGTATTAGCTTCTCGATATTAGACAGGTTAATCTCTTGGGGACTCAGTTTCCTCATTCATAAATAATAATAGCACTGGTCAGGTGCAGTGGCTCATGTCTGTAATCCCAGCACTTTGAGTGGCTGAAGGAGGATTTAAAGCCACTCCACTTTGAGACCAGAAGTTTGAGGCCAGCTGGGCAACACAGCAAAGACCCCATCTCTACTTTAAAAAAAATTTTTTTTTTCTGAGACAGAGCCTTGCTCTGAGCCCATCTTGGCTCCCTTTAATCTCCATCCCCCTAGTTCAAGTGATTCTCCTGCCTCAGCCTCCTGAGTAGCTAGAATCACAGGTGTGCACCACCACACCTGGCTAACTTTGTATTTTTAACAGAAATGGGGTTTCAGGCTGGTGTTGAACTCCTGGCCTTAAGTGATCCACCCACCTCAGCCTCCTGAAGTGCTCGGATTACAAGCATAAGCCACCACACCCAGCCTATTTAAAAATTTTTTTAAGTTATAATAATAGCACCTACCTCACCTCCTGAGTTAAAATCATTATAACAATTAAATGTATTAATACCTCCATCTGTAATGTACATGGAACAGTGTCTGTCACATAATGATTCCCAGTAATATTGTTAATTATTGCTCTGTTTATATTAGAAACTCAAACATCCCATGGCGTTTCCCTCTGGGCTTCCATAGCTATCCTGGAAGCACAGAAATGATCCCTGATGTGTTCATGGGACTCTGGAGGAGGGTGAGAAACGAGCCAGGGAGGCAGGGTAGCCTGTGGGTGGGAGCACGGCCACCAGAGCCACACAGGCATGGATATGAGTCTCCTCATTTCTGCATCTTAGGTGAAGTAGTTAACTCCTTGTTTTTTCATCTGTAAAATGGGAACGGGAACAATGTTGTGTGACCTGTGTTGTCATATGTATAGGGTTGGATGGAGATGAGGTACATAGTGAGCACCTGGTAAATGTTAGCTGCTTTTATTAATGCAGTTGTGTTGTTTTTCATATAAAAATGAGATTTAAAAAATCAAAATAACCTGATCCAAGAGAATTAATACAGTTGTGTGTTCCCAGTGAGTTGTGACCAAAGCCCTTTTCTTGTAGATTTGGGTGAACAGTCCCCATACAGCCAGCGGCTACTACACCATCTATGATAGTGAGACTCTTCAAGCTGATCATTTCAACACTCGCCTCAGCTTTGGAGATGCTGCTCAGACCCTCTGGGCTCGGACAGGATACCTTGGTTTTGTCCGCCGGACTGAGCTCACAGCGGCCACTGGAGGTACTTCTGCAGCAGCTCCTCCCTGTTGGGCCTGCTTTGTGTTTCTGTAGCACTAGCTGACCTCCCTCAGCTTTTCTCGGATTGTGGA